AAACAGTATTACTAAAAGTCTGCCTAACGTATTTCCCAGTAGATGGATTAATCCCTGCAGATGCCACCATCAGTCCGGGCTTCTTTACAGACTTTCAAAATGGAGACTATGTCACATCACAGGGTTTCCCTTTAGAGCTCGTGTTAAGCTCTGAGCGCTGTGATTCTCACAACCCTGCCTCTGTGCTGTACCCTGTTCAGTTATTTAATCAAACTCTTCCCCTGATAGCCACTATTCTCTCTGGGAAGAAGAAAAAAAGGCAATATTTTTAGCCGAGCGAAAACGGGGAGGTAGTTGCTAAAAGAAAAGCATCTGACGCATGTAAGCGCTCTCATGGAAGTGATTTGTGCTAAGAACAACACAGCATTATGGGAGCTGGTAGGGGCAAAGCAAACAGCTCATATTTTAAGAGAACAGCGAGGGGAGCTAGTGCTCGGGCTGAGACGGGAGGGAAGGTGGGGGGTGGGATAGGAGGACGCAGAGGTGAAGGTGGCGTTCACTCAAAGGCACCTCACAGATCTTTCTGTACTCAAGACGCTCAGGTCTTATTGGTCAGTTACTTGTGTCACAGTTCCCACAATTATTAAGCTGTATGTATAATGCTGCGGTCTGGCTGCAATGTTTGTTAAGGGGTGCTTTTTATTCTTTAACGTGCTGCAATTTAATCATGCAGTGTTTCATCATCAAGCCCAAGAACTCTACATAATTTTTGGGGGTAACATAGAGGGTTTTGCAGTCTGATTTATTCTCTCATTTTTCTTTTTGGAAGTTTCTTTTGGCTTTCGCTACAGTCTTGTTGCCTGCCTCTGTAAAAAATATGGATAGACCCTGTTGCCTTATTGTTCTTTTTAGCAGTCCTGCAGTGCCATCTAGTGTTGAGGCACCATGGCATGCCGTAATACCAGATTAATATGGCATGCTATTTTCAAACCTATTTGTATCTCTATAAGCCAGGAGTGTCCAATCTTCAATAGAACCGTGTGGGTGTAGGTTTACATTCCAACTAAGCAGAACCTAAGCACACCTGAGTCAAGCTCAACTGATTGGTCAGGTGTATTTATCTCATTGTACACATCTGAGCAGTTGAGGGTTAAAGGCCTTGTTCAACGGCCCAGCGGTAGATGGGCTATGAATACTCGTGATTTGACCAGTAGTCCAACGGCTTAACCACTGAGCTCCCTCCTGCTTGACTGGAATGAAACCCTGCAACCCTGGTATAAGCAATATGCAACATTTTTAATCAAGGCTAATGATAGTAACTCGTATATTTACTCATTAGCGAGAGACCTGTAGTTGATGGTGCCACTGGAAAACTCAACTGTCTATCTTATTTTGTTCCTTCAGTGCTGTCTCTGAGAGATATGGTCAGGGGCCAGGTGGACCCATGCGGCCTGCTACAGCCTACGGTTTCCGGCCCGATGAGCAATACTACTACAGCTATTCAGCATCACGGTAGATTAGTATGGGTACAGTAATACATACCATCATTACTGTTGCATTTATATTAATATTGCAATTATATTACTCATACTCTGTAGTTCAGTCAACGCTACTAATATTATTTATTTGTTCCATTTTCAATGTCTCTTCTGAAATGACTTGGACGTGCTTAACTAGCTGCTCTCATGAAGTCAGTAGTTTCAAAAGTATTTGTAAACATACTCAATTATCAATCTCTGTGTGTATGTATGTGTGTGTGTGTGTGTGTGTGTGTGTGTATATATATATATACACACACTTTAATCTACAGTGTGTTTGCTATAAGTGACATACACTTGTGTAATGAAACTTCGAAGGCACTACATGTACCCAGATTTCAGGAGCCTTTTGAAACGTAGATTTTGCATGAAGTATTAAACACGTAGCTTGGTTTTGAGGTCCAGTTCATTGCAGCTATAGTAAAGGTGTTCTTTCTCGAATGCATTGCATGACTGAGTACAGTGTAGTATAGAATTCACCCATCATGAAGCTCACACACTTTAAAGCACTCAGGCATTTGAGACACTTTCCAAGGTGTGTACTTGTGAGAGTATTTGACACTAGCTTTGACACAAGTCTTGAATGTATTTATTGACCTGTAAGAAATGTTTCGTTGTAATGCTTTTTATCTGTGTCTCAGGACCACAGTGCACTGTTTAATGTTATGATTTGTTTTTGTAAATGAAACATTTTGTATGTGTGAAATTTTAATTTTAAATATTTCAGTATTGTTTTATGTTATCAAATTTGATTTCTTTTTTTTTTATATATATATTGTCAGTTTACACTAAATGTATGTGCTTATGTGGTTTTTTGGGGGGGGTTGGTTTTTTTTTTGTCTCTGGATTGTCTTAACTGCTGTTTTGTACAAGATGCCTATTATTTCTGTGGTGCAATATTAAAGCAAACAAATATGAACAGAATTTGGTGCTTGCCTTTTGTTTGCATTGTTTCCATTGAAGGTGGAATAGTGTTCGGGTCTAAACGCAAGCAGCTCTGTACAGTCTGTCCCCTGCCAGGGTGCCCAATTTTTTTGGGTGTTGTCCAGGGTTGAGGCAGGGCCCAATTCAATGACAACTCCTTAAAATTACTCAGGCTTCTAAAAGCCAAGAAGGTAGAGAAATTATTAGGTTACCTTTTATTTATTTATTTATTTTATTTTGGTGTGCTTAATGGAGCTGAGTGGGTTTGTGTAGATTTAGTGATTTTAAACTCTGTATTGTGGATTACCATTTTTTTTCTTCCCCTAATCTGGCACTGTACCTTAGGGGATGTGTATACATTTTTATGTAAATTTGTTAAACAATATTTTTGTTCATCATATCAAGATTAGTTTATATTAATGTTTGACTGAAATACAAAATATATGATTAATTTATAGTTACTTACCATGTGCTCATCTCCTGCACCTTGGGAGGCCATTATGGTTTCTGGTCAGGCTGACTAAACCATCTCAGGTAACTTGAACCATGTCATGTGACCCAAATAACCCTGACCGGGCATACATCCATCCATCCATCTTCTATACTGCTTATCCTTTCCAGGGTCATGGGGAAACCTGGAGGCTATCCCAGGGAGCATCGGGCACAAGGCGGGGTACACCCTGGACACGGTGCCAATCTATCTGTGGACCGCGAACCCTGCGATTAGTGAACAACCCGCTCTACCACCTGAGACACCGCCCAGCCCAATCTACTTATAATTGCGCTCAACAACATTTTATTTCTTGTCCAACAACCAGAGATTTAAAAAAAAAACTAAATAAATTTAGTTTTTTGGGCAATATATCTGGCATTATGCAGGTTACTCGCATGCTGGCTGAGAACGACTGGATCTCATCCGAGCGACACCTCTTCGATCAGCCCAACTCGACTCGACATATGACTTCGGTAAAGTAAAGATCCTGGAGACGATCAAAGAGTTGGACCAGTAAAGAACGAGGCTTGTGGTTAGCACGTTTGCCTCACACCTCTAGGGTTCAAGACCCACCGGGGCCATGTGTGTGCAGAGTTTGCATGTTCTCACCCATTCATACATTACGACACTTAGATACATAGACACTTTAGACACGCCAATCAGCCTACCCTGCATGTCTTTGGACTGGGGGAGGAAACCGGAGTACCCGGAGGAATGCACGAGGAGAACATGCAAACTCTGCACTCAGAGCCGCGGGAATCGAGCCCCAACCCTGGCGGTGTGAGGCAAACGTGCTAACCACTAAGCCACCGTGCGCCCAGAGTATAATATAATATTTTATTATAATAAATCATGTGTTCTTTATTAATTCAATTATTGAACATTTTTAGTTTGTACTGTACATATGTTTTTAGCTCATTTCATTATTTATGACCATGGGCATATTTATTGAATTCATTTGAACTAAACATGTTTTGAATAATGGATGTGATTTCTGCACAGCACAATGTAAGGAGTGCTGAATGCCTGTAAATGTCTATTCACATCACACACCTGTCAGGAGGGAAAACGCACATGAGGTGAGCAGAAAGTGAAACAGAGTTAAATTCGACTGAGATTTACATTTATGTACATATAGTATTATTAGAGGATATTGTTTTGTTTTTTTGTTTGCTTGTTTTCCATGCTTTTTCGGAATTGGGGTTGTATTATTTTGGCTGGGGTGTCTAGGGCAGTCCATAGAACCATGTGATAAAAAGATGTGAAATTTGGCACACAGCTTCAGGACACATTCAGCTACAAATACACTAAATCTGGGCCCAAAGCTCTAATGCCACTAGCTTTATTCTACTCTTCACTCATGAGTAACAATGAATGATTGTGCCTCTTCTCAGGGTTTGAAATTCTGACCCGTGAAGCAACTTCCTTCTTACTGATAAGATTTCTTTATAATTATTTTTAAAAATCTTTTAGCTCTCCATACAGCCTTGTGCCCGATGCTTCCTGGGATAGGCTCCAGGTTTCCCCGTGACCCTGAAAAGGATAAAGCGGTAGAGGATGGGTGGATCTCCATATAGGAAAAGAGTCCCATGAAAGTATCTTTTGAATAACCCTAAACAACGTGTGTATGTAATGCATTCAGCAAAAATTTGTACACAAAGTATAGGCTAGTTAGTTCTGTATTCAGAATTAATGTGATTAATTCATCTGTGTGCAAGTGTCACATGAACTCAGTATAAATACACCTGTTCCTACAGCATCATGGATACCAAAGAGCTACCAAAAACATCTGGGTGAGTTACAAATGAGCTTTCTTTTTCTTTTCCAGTTCATTTGATCATATATAGATGTGCATTCAAAACTGAATGGTCTGACCCATGAAACAATTTCTCATTGAGATAGGCTAACTGGCCAGTAAGGCTATGTTGAAAATGTCCATGACTTTATGAGACAGTGGTGAGCCATATGAAATCCTATTTGGAGTTTGGAAAAAGGGATGCTGGAAACTCAACAAATGTGGAAAAAGGTTCTCAACATCCAGTCATTTTTTCTGGCTTGTTGTGGGAAATCACTTACAGACAGACATCATGGCAGATGACTTTAGTTGGTCAGTATGGGGATTGAACCCATGACCTTGACTTTATTAGCACCACACTATAGCCAACTGAGCTATAGGTGTTGTTTTTTGAATATTAGAATATTAAGCTCACACCGTGATGTTTTTTTTAAAAACTTCTGACGCATTGCAACTCATAACCCGCCTGCGATCGGATACTTTCAGCAAACCTCACATCTCTTAAGCAGATTTGTACATTTCTGAACATCTCTGTTCGCCTTTTTAACATCTTGGCCTTTAATCTGAGCATTTTCCTGCGCGGATAACATCTTCGGAAGAAATGGTAAGCTTTGAGCAAACATAGTAGTGTTTGAAACGTCGGTTTGGACAAGCGATTTTGAAAAGTCGTTTTGTAAAACACAGCGGTAAATATTTATATGAAGTTTTACTGTTAGGATGGACATGTGTTATTGAAGTCTTCACTATCTCTGTGACCATTTCCGTTATCTCCAAGAGGGGGCGCCCAAGCCTTAATCACGGATCACGAAGACTGAACATGAACGATGCATCCTTGTAGTACACGAAGGAAAATATCCAGACCTGTGTAGAGTGGATCATTTCGGTGGTGACTGTGTACCATGTGTAAAGGCTTTCTGAACATGTAGAGCAACTGAGTAAAGGAGATAAGGATTTTCCCCTCAGCATCCCGGCTTTTTACATTACTGAATCACTCCAATATCATATCGTTATCTTTTCTCATTAACATGAGGCCTAAGATGACTGGAATAAACAGCCTGATTTTGTAATCACACACACACACACACACACACACACACACACACACACACACACACACACACACACACACACACACACAATATATTTAGGAACTTTTCTCTCATGCTTTTTTACAATACAACATGCCTTCATTAAAGAGTTCAGCAAATGGAATTTGATATTTATGTCTTTTAAGTCTAACCTACCCCTATTAATTTCTTCCCCTCCAGCCACAGCCGTATTACACAAGCTGGGATTTGTCCAGCTCTGGACCGTGGGTTGAGGCTGGTGACTTCCAGCACTTTGTCCCTGACCCCCATGTGTACCCCCAGAATCAGGACTTCACCCCCATCACTCAGGGCCAGGTATTAGACTGTTGTTGTTTTCTTCTTCTAATTGTAGGACTGTTTAATTTCAGAAATTATATTTTCATGTCAATATAGAATTTTTATTTAATAACAAAATTATTTATGTCTTTTCTCTCATGCTGTATTACTATACAATATTACATCCCTACATTAAAGCGTTCTACAGAGGAAGTTAACTGATTATCCTAGTTAGGTCTCTTAAGCATAACCCAAACCCTTTTTGTTACTTCTCCTCGTGCTACAGCCATATTACCCCAGCTGGGACACTATTTCCTGCTCTGGACTGTGGGGTGAACCTGGTGACCTGCCACACCCTATCCCATCCTCCCATGTGTACCACCAGGAGCAGATATTCACTCCCAGCTCTCAGGGCCAGGTATAACAAGTGTTTAAGTATTATGATGTTGATTCATATACTACCTACACTACACCACAGTGTATCACATTACTGCTTGCTTCATGTTCAGCAGATAGAGCTTCCTGGGATGGCTGCACTGTCAGAGGACCAAAATTGCAGCTCCATGCCTGGTAAGGACCATTTAAACCTAGTAATAATAATCATCATCATCATCATCATCATAATAATAATATTTCAGGAGCACTCGAAATATATCCATGACAGAATTTATAATGATGTCCTAACATGTACTGACATTTCACACCACCAAACTTACTCTGACATCACACAATGACATTGAGACAATCGAAATATATAATTAACTCTGACTATTCGTATGGTTTTAAGATATTTATAATGCAAATTTGCCTCACAATAATTTGGACATGTTGTATGTTGCACAGTTTTTTTTACAGATGCTTAAGTATGAAGCCAAAGACTAGGTATAAATATATACATGTGACCCCAGTTAATGTCATGATATCAAAGGTGTAAATATTGAAAGTGAGACATTTTACATTCCGGTTTCAAATCATTTGGCAGTAGCCATGGCAAAAACTTTCCCTCATGAGAATTGTCCTGTAACAAGCGTTTTGTATTGACTCAAATGCTTTAACATTCTTGACTATATTTTAGTTATTGTTCTTTTCTCTTTGTTTACACTTTTAATAATATAAAATTATTACAATTATAATAGGGGGGTTAAGCAGATTCTCTGGACTTAAATCAATTTGAACAAAAACATACCCAACAACTAGGTTGATTGGTTAGTTTACTTGTATCCTCTTTTGTGTTAGGTGTGTTCCTTTTGTGATGTTTCTATTGTTATAAATATGACTCTCTTTTGTGTACAACAGAATATCGGGGGACCTAGTAGAAGACATCAGGGTCACAGATCCATAGACCAAGTCCCTATTGAGTTATAATGGACTTTTCAATAAGGATTTAAATTGTCAAGACAAAGCTTCCAAGATTTTTCATGCTTAAAATACTTTTTATATATATATATATATAATTTTTTTCATTTTAATTAATTTATTTATATATTTATTAAGGAGAACATATTGAAATCATTCTCATGGCTGGATCGAGAAGCTGTCGCAAGGTTGCGATGGACTTTATTAAGAAACATGGCAAGCACATCACACACACGAACGACATTGTTGCCAAACTTATTAACAAATTCAAATAGACTACGGACCAACAGAAGTGGACGTCCACGAACATCCACTGACGAAGGCACGACCGACGTGATGTATGGAGACTTTTAGAACACACTGTATATTCCCCAAGTAACTGATTTACTACAAATCAAGGACAGACAAAAACAAACAAACAAACAAACAAAAATAATAATAAGATCTGGATTTTAAAACATCTGGTGTTTCTAATATTTTTTATGTTTTCTGAAACACTACCTCAGAGGTTCAGAATGAAAATTTTTCATTGTCTGAATTGTGAGTAATCGGGATTAACAGTGTATCTGATGAGTGAAGCGCTCAGGATGGACCAGGATGCTTCAGGACATCAGAAAAATCTTTGAAGCCAAACAATTTGGATCTTTATAAATAAGACTTTGTAGTCAAGACAAACTTAATGAACGGAAAACGTAATGTGTTTTAGTTCATGTAAATGTTGTACTTTCTTTTCTTGGTAAGGAAGGTGAACTAGATAAAGGAGGTGAATGTTACATATGAATAGTGTAATCTAGACATTTTAAACGCAATAGCATCCCAGCATCATGTAGGAATAGTATATGCATTATTTGGGGATTTTTTTTTTTTCAAATGCATTTGTATGGATAAAAATGTCTGTGGAGTCCTGGTTTCACTGGAAACGGCCCAATCATTTGTTAATTTAAATATTGTGTTAAATAAAAACTAATGGCTGAAACAAGGGTCTGATGACAATTATTTTGAGATTGTGTCCATGCGTTTAAGAAGACTTGCAGCTTGTTTTTGGTCCTCTTAACTCACCTTGTTGAGACATTTGTCCAATTCTTCACTGTACCATAGAATAGATTTTGTAATGATTGTTATTTTCATATGAGATACTACATTATGCAAGGTGACGCTCAGATTTATATTTAACCCATCAGTCATTAGGTCAAGTTGAACTCTGTCCCCTCATAGTACACTGCATAATTCACTTGTAGCAGGTTGTCTATGCTGCAGCTGTGATTGGATCTGTAACATCCTTTCTCACATTAATGCCAAACCTCAGAATAAATCTAGTGTGTGATTAATCCTGTGAATAGAACCATGGGAATTGAAAATAACATTAATAGACACCAAAACTGATTTGTTGCCAGCAGTTTAGACATTAATGGCTGTGTGTTGAGTTGTTTTGAGGGGACAAGAAGTTTACACTGTTACACAAGCTGTACACTCATTACTTTACATTGTAGCAAAGTGTCATTTCTTCAGTGTTGTCACATGAACAGATATCAAATATTTACAAAAATGTGAGGGGTGTACTCACTTTTGTGATATACTGTATATACACACATGTATGCCCATACATGTATGCATATTGTATATATAGTTACACACGTATGTAAATTATATATATATATATATATATATATATATATATATATATATATATAAATCTGCCATCATTAATGCTACATCTATTTTTTGAAGAGAACCATTCAATCCAGTATGTGTCATTTTCACCCCCTTTATGCAATCGTGAAAGTTTTTTTTTTTGGTTCATGCATTGTAGGGTTAAATATCAAAAATATAAAAGGTGTGTGTTATAGCTGACACCTAGTCGAACACTTTACAGTTGGAGGTGTGACTGTACAGCATTCCCTTCAAATGCTATTGAGCTTTAAATAACGGTATATTTTGTGTATGGGCCCTTTCAGCAGTGAAATACATGTCTATTTTACATATGATTCAATAGCTTTTTTTTTTATATAAAAACCTAAAAAGTGTGCATCATACCTGACACCTAGATTTACACTTGGTTATATGACTGTACATCATTCCCCTCAAATGCTACTGAGCTTTAAATAATTTTATATTTCGTGTATGAGCCCATGATGTAATAAAATACATGGCAGAATTTATATATGATTTAATAGTTTATTTAGATAAATATTTAAAAAATCTAAAAGGTGTGCATTATAGCTGACACCTACATGAACACTTTACACTTGGTTATATGACTGTAAGTCATTCCCTTCAAGTACTATTGAAGTTAGAATCGTGTTTAACAACGTTGTATGTAACTTTAGAGACGGTCCCTTAATTTCCGCATATCCGCGAATATCGAACATAGAACATCACACTGACTTTATTCCAGTCACAGCAGATTGGTAAATCTCCAGTAGAATCAGAAGCATTTGCTGCCTACTCTGTGTGACTTTAGCCAGCAATATAACGTTAAGAGGCATACACCTTCAAATGCACATCACGCTTGATTTATTTATTTGGCGACAGATAAAATTTAATGATGTAACAGATTATTGGTGTAAGGGTGCTATAGCGTGGAGATGCACAGTTATGTATTAAAATATATCAAAATATGTATTTCTTTAAACAAAAATATATATAGTTATTAAT